CATGTTCTTCTCTATCTATGAATTGGCCTTGTTACCGCATATAGGGTGTTTACCGTTTTGGTTAATCGAAACATGAATATATTTTGGAAATCAAACCAAAATTATTAAATCCTTTTATTTTAATATTTGTAAGCTGAATCAACTGGTTACTCGTTTAATTTAGTTATGCACACACACACACCAGTCAGTTGGTTAACTGTGATTTTTTCTTAGTTAAACATGATGTCTCGATATGGATTGTCGGTTTTGGTTCAATTTTTCGATTTTTTGGTTTTTCATGAGTATTCTTAATATGTATATTTTAAAAAATGGCTATCGAATCATTGTTGGCCCGGATGGTCAGATTATTCGGCCCAAAAAATGTTCAGGCATCTGGTGTCATTTAGGGGTATTCACATTAAATGTCAAACAGACCATACCGATTAAACTGGCCTGACCCAGCTCGAGTTGGTCAGTTTTTTAAAACCACCGGTCGGTTTCAGTTTGTATGAAAAAATAAACCAACAATCCGGTTCGGTTTCAAACCAAATCAAACCGATCCTATATGTTTAACTGCTTAAGTAATTATTAATTAGTCCCTACCCTATATGTTAAAGGTTGATATATTTTATTCGTGTTTTTTTGAACTTTGAAAAAAATTTGGTTATTTATGATAAAAACTAAAAATATAAAATCAATACAAATATAATACAATAGTACAATATTTAATTCAGTTTTGTATAAATTTAAATATATATTGACAAAAAAAATCAGTTTTACATAAAAAATAATTGATTTAAATATATATTTTGATTTTGATTTAAACTGACTAAACTGATAAAACGACCCTTCATGTTTGGATCGATTTAGCTTCAGGATCAGTCGGTTTCGGTTTAGTCAATAAGTAAACCGACTAGGTCGGGTCGGTTGAAGAAAATAACTCAAACCGATTCTACTTGACCCGTGAATACTCCTAGTGTCATTTTGAATTATTATATCCTTTAACAAAAACCATTGACTTGGTTAGCAATCAATGACCCGTGTAGACAGTCAAACCATCGACTCATTCAACCCGTTCAAACAAAAAGGTCGAACTGTGATGACCAGTGGACAGTGCAGTTCTAGTTCCGGGTCAGTTATTAAAATATTGCTTTAATTAAAAACCAGAAAAGTAAGATAATTAAAGTAATTCCAAAGATCACATAAAATTTCAAGGACAATTCTAAGCTTTTATAATTCTAAAAGACAATCAAAAAGTCCAAATCATAAAATAGCAGTCATCAGAGCACCTACGTCTCTCCTTTTCTCTTAGAGCCCATTGTAAAGTGACTGACGCGAGAGATAAAAGGAAAGATGCCTTCAATTCCTAAAAGAGTCACAGACTGAATGAACGTGTAGTGAAGAAGAGATTATTCGAGAAGCTGAATATTCTCTATCAGTTAGAATTCTATCCGGTGTGCGCTACAAATAGGAACTGATGTGAGACAATGGTAGAAAGCAATGGATTCTAGAGAATTCATTGAAATTCATATAACATTGGAGTGAATGAATCACCTTAATTTGTCTTTGGCGATTCATACACTCCAGTCCAGATACTGGAACCGTTTTGGCAATCAGTTTTCGGATTAAAATAAAAATGATCAATACTGTTATTAATTTGGGTCAATCAGTTCGATGGTTTAACTGTTTGGGTCAATGAATTTCTGTTAAATTTATTAGTTTTTAATTAGCAAAAAAAATGGTTTGAAGTGAAACGGAACCAATATCTGGACTGAATTGTAGGTTGTGCAGTTCAACTATCTGGATCAACGACAATTCGAAAACCATGATATTATACAAATGGGCTGTAAACACAAATTAGTAGGCATATATGAACATTTTTCTCATTCACTTTTTGTCTCTGGTGGTGGTGGTTGCACCTCCTCCTAATGGTTTCGGATTTATACAATTGAAATGACTACTTGATCTCTGGTATTCTAGTAAGGTTGTGTGGTTCGGCTCTTGTTCTGGGGCGGAGCCAGGGGGTGGCGGAGAGGAGCCATGGCCCCCCTATGCTTTCTTGGTTTTTGGCCCCCTTTATCCATGTTTTTTAGGTTTTGACCCTCCTTAAGAAAAAATTCTAACTCCACCCCTACTCTTGTTTAAGCCGGAGACTGGGTTTAATTCCAAATGCATCTTAACTTATTGGCTGGTTAAGTGGAATAAAGTTCAGTTGAAAGGGCTGTTTCTAATTTTCTATGCCATGTAGGGGTGTTCATGGTCTGATTTGGAGATCTTAGACCAAAATAGTAAATTATGGTTTGAAAAATTCTTAGACCAAATTAACCATTTTAATATAGAAATCAAATCAGACCAATCTACTATGATTTGGTTTTGATCATTCCATTGGACTTAATCCAATTATAAAACCCAAATAACATGTATATCTACATGAATAATAAATATAATTCAAATATCAAATTGAAATGCTAGCAAATACCATCTACTACTATTATGTAAATTACGTTTACACTTTCTCAAAAATGAATAGCTCATTGGGCATCAAAAAATTACAATTTAAAAAATTAAAATAATCAACAATAATGTACAAAATGTTAAATGCATACATGCATACATATGATTCATAAAAAAAATACACATACATATGTTATTATATATATTATATACATTAATAAATATTATCATTAATAATTCAGTTTATGGTTTAATTTGGTTTATAAAATTTAGAAAATTATATCAAACCAGAAAATTACGGTTTAAAAAATTCTCAGACCAAATCATTTTAAGGCCACATGCATCAGACCAAACCATTAATTTGGTTTGATTCAATGCAGTTTGGTGGTCTAAACCATATAGGCATATAATAAACACCCCTAATGCCATGCAAAGATGTGGTGTTGTTTTGGTCAAAGTTTTTGAACCTCTATTGATTCAGACGGTCGGACCATTCGGCTCGGGAATCAGTTCCGTTTTATTTAAAACCCGGTTTTGATAAAAAATTGAAAATTTTAATAAACTATTGACTCGGGTGGTCGAGCCGTCAATCCATCGACCCATTCAATGGTTTTTAACTGTTTTTTATTTTTAATTATTTTTTATTTTATTTGTCAAAACGAGCTATCCGTTCAAACCGAATGATCACACCGTTGACCTATAAACTAGTGGCCAGAACGGTTCCATTTCTGGATCGTTTTTTAAAACGTTGGTTTTGACAGATCTTCAAAAGTCATAAGATCGAGAAATGGATTAAACCTAATGATCCATAGTTTAAAATTAATGTTGATGGGCAACCGGTTCCATATGGTGCCATCTGTCTATAACACTTGTAAGATGAATTTATTCATATTTACTTTAGACAAGTGGCTATTCATCTATTCAAGAAAATTAATGTATCTAAAGTATGGTTGTTTCCATGGTTTTTGAACCTTGGTTGACCCAAATGGTCGGATTGTTCGGCCCAGGAACCATTCAGACAATCGGTTCAGTTTTACCTCAAATTTGGTCTTTGGTAAAAAACCGTTGAATTGGTCAATGACCCATTGACCCAGGCGGTTGAACCATTGACCCATTCAATGGTTTTGGCCATTTTTTATTTTTAATTTTTTAATTTTTGTTGTTAGAACGGACTATCTGTTTGAATTGGACAATTGAATTGTCAATTTGGAAACCGATGGTCAGAACGATTCCATTTTCGGGTTATTTTTTAAAACCATGGTTGTTTCTATCAAATATAGGTTTTTAAAGTTTTAACTTAGACACATTTCTCCCGTAGTTAACTCTACCCACATTTTTTGAAGTGGATACCCACTATTGGTCACGTATTCATGTTGCAATCACTGCCATCACAACTAGGGGTGCTCATGGTTTTGGTTAACCGAACCGTGGGCCTTTTTTTTTGTAACTGAACTGGTATTTACTGATTTTTGGAAAACTAGTAACCAAAACCGAACCAGAACCAATTGGTTTACTGGTTTGATTAACTGCCGGTTCAGTTTATTGATTTTTTTATTTTTACAATATATATTATAAAAATATATAAATATAATAAAAAATTATAAATATATATAAAGTATTATATTTTAAATAATAAATAATATATCGCATATTATACATATATTTACATATATATAATGCATATTTATTAATTTATAATATATAGAAAATATATATATATATATATACCAGTTGGTTCGGTTAACCGTTGGTTTTCTATATTGGTTAACCGAAATCAAATTGGTACATTTGTTTTTTTTTTTAAAACACCGAACCGAACTTTTTTGGTTTTTTCTCACCCCTAATCACAAGTGTCCTCTCCATTAACAAATTGAAAAGCAAACCAATAAACAATCCACTTCTCATATTGACATGAATAATAACATATAAGTATGGGAGATGTTCCTGATGTGCGGCTGATACATGTTGTGAGATTGGTGTGAGGAGCACTAATGAAGTTCCAAAAAAAAAACCATCAATTAAAAAACAAAGAACAAATTGCACAAATATGGAAAATATATAGAGAGTGTAGACTAAGTAAAAAAAAATTAAATTGAAAAAAAAAGAAAAAATAAAATAAGAGTTTCATCAAGGAGAAGAACGTAGAAACTATATACAAATATTAGGCTCAGAATGCAAATATTTCTAATGCATGTAACATTTTAGTTCAGTTTTGCATGTATTTGGTAATAATGTATTTAAATAAAGACATATTTGCATTCATTTAATGTAAAAGGTTGGATTCTAGTATTAAAGATTCATGTTTACATTTATCACAACTGAAAATCATTTGACAAGAATACAAAAATATATTAAGGCTCAGTTTGAAAGGAATACAAAAACAAATTTATATTATATAAATAAATACAAAATAATATAAAATACAATGTTTTTTAGTCTACAAATTTGAATTTATACTCCTTCCGAACTGAGCCTAAGAAACAAAACCAACTTTACATCTACGTGAACCACACGTATTTCCGTTTGCACTCCTTCCAACCGGAGACCCCAGAGATTACGAATAACTTCACCCGAAAAACTTTTGAGCAAACCCATTCAACCAATAAGCAATATTAATTTGAAACACTAACGAGTAACCTCTTTGTTACAGTGAACTCTGAGCAAAAGTTCAGACACCCACTCCCCTGAACTGAAATAGATGATGGTGGTGGCAGTTTAGAGAATTAAACATATCTTCAGAGTTTCATTGATTTTTCTTTCTGGCAGCGAAAATGCGAAGAGAGGCACAGGGGAGAGGTAAACCGGTTTATCACTTTTGACGTGGACTCGAAAAATAATCTCTTCGAGTTAAAACGCAGTGATCCGGAGTGTTCACTGCGTCTACCTAATAAAGTCCTATTCCTAAGTTCTAACTGCCAGCAGGGGATCCGGACTTCCAGATCCGAAAACATTTCGTTGCTTCTTTTGGTAAAAATTTTCATGGTTTATTTCTAATTTTCTATTTTTTATTCGTTCTTAATACTGGGTTTCAGAGTTTGTCTGGTGGGCAATCAGAATTTGATTGAATTGTTGTTTCAGGTGAGGTACGACCGTACGAAAATGGTTCTCTTCACGGTTTCGAAGGTCGAGACTACCCCGTTCGATGGCCAAAAGCCAGGAACTTCTGGTCTGAGGAAGAAGGTGATCCAGATTGAGTGAAGTCTTTTCTTTGTCATTGCTACCTTTTTCTTTTCTAGTCCCCCCGATTTTAGTTCTATGTTCTTGTATTTTTTTTTTCTTGAATCATATTGGTTCTACTGGTATTGTGATAAGCTTATTTATTTTCTTATTGATCGAGGCATTGGTTCAACTTCTTGAAGTAGGCGTATTCATTCTCATGGGTAACTGGGCGATGGATCTTCTGATGGGAATCCATGTCTTTGAATTGCATTGATATGCGTGTAGTTTTATTGATCTAATGGTTGCATTTTGTTTGGAATTTCAAGTTTTTTACGTAGGTTCGACGCCTCTATTGGTTTCTGATTATTATTATTGTTGTTTTTGCTGCTGCAGTTTTGTCAATTTCTTGCATTTATTTCTTTTGTGTTTTGGCTGCTTTGTTGCTGTATTGTTTTCTTCTTCTTTCTATAGTATTGTTCATTTGGCTGGCTTCTGTTTATTTGGGTGAAGCAGAAAATGAGATTTTCTGCTGAAAAGCTATCTATCATATGGGTAGGATCATTTCATAAACATAAGTCCAGGTCATTGATAATTCAACAGAGGATACAGCTTTTATAGAAAAATAGGTTGCTGTAGAGGACCTCCAAATAGTTGGGATAAGGATTTACTGAGTCAAGCTGATTTAGTAGAAGAGTTTTTTTTTTTATCCCGATTATTGCACCATTTCCAGAAGAGTTCGGATTTGCTCCTCACATAATTGGTCCTCAAACCCACCTTGCAGGTTTTGCAGCTGTATATCTGAACATATCCGTACTTGTATGTTTTTATTCATCGGGAGATGTTCCCAATGCATGGCTGCAAAGGCTGTGAGGACCAATTTTATGAGGAGCAAATCCAATTTCTTTATAGAAAACTTCTTATTTTGAAGGATCAAAGAAAATTCATTAAAATAAAAAGAGAATACAGAGAGAAAGGTGACAAGAAATCACCCCAGAGAAAAGACAAATTCATGGATTGCTCTCTTTTACATGATTTATAATTTTAGTGTCATAATTAAACACTATCTCTGTCTGCCTCTGTAGGGATGGGCACAGTTATCTCCATTTTTTTTTCTTTCTTGTTGTTTCCGCTAGCTACTAGTAGGGGCGACTGCATCTCTGTGATATAAATATTTCCTGCTGTAGTAGTAGGGAAGGAGGTAATTGAAAGATAATATATGGTACACATGCAGTTTGAAGGCAGAGGGAGATTCGGGAGGGATCCTTCCCTCCTGAAACCTGTTGCTTGGAAGAAAGACCTGTGTAAAGAATCCTGTCCTTCCTCCCTTACTTTGGTTGGTTGGTTGGATTAATCTGTGTACCAATCTGTCTTTCCTCTCTTCCTGTTGGTCGGTCGGTTAGAAAAAGTTGTCAAATTGTTTTCTTTTATCCTACTTAGTTCAGTAACTATTTGTCCTATTTAGTGTATCTTTCCTGCATTTTAGATGAGCTAGTAGACATGTAGACATTCGGAATACCTGAAGGTGCTTTGATGAAGAGGTGGAGGATAAAAATAAAATCTCTTTTATGTGGATATTACTGTTGATCCAAAATTGTTTTATTGCAAGATTTTGATGTGCCTTTTTAATTGTGTCTAATAGTTCTACAATGACATTGGGCAATATACCATTTCAGGTGAAAGTGTTCATGTATCCAAACTACTTGCATAATTTTGTTCAATCAACATTCAATGCACTATCAGACGACAAAGTGAAAGGTAAATGTTCCATTATTTTTGATACGTCTTGCATTCTCATCCAGTTTTGTTGGATGTTATTTAGTTTCTTCTCTCATTATAAGTAGATTGTATAACATTTTAAGGTTTTATGGTGATTGTCATATGTAAACTTAATACAAATTTCTGCAACTTATTTAGAGAGTTTAACAAGCCTTACACCTATGTTCTAATTACAGTTTAACGTTCATGTTGCTGATTTGTTTACAACTTCCTATGTGCCTCTAAATCCATTAGGCTGTAATTTATGTATGAGGTGGTTTATTAACCCCTTTTTTCTTCTATAGTATAAATAATTCTCTTTTACTTACAGGAAAAAGGATGCACTGGACAAAAGCTGTTCTTTATTGTGTCTCATTATGCCTCTTCTTCAGTGTATTATCCTTATATGGGATTTGTGGAACTTCTATGGTAATTTAGGAATGGAGCTTCATGAAAAAAAATAATTCATTCCATTTCATGGAGCATACAGATGACACAGGAAGTGGTGGCAGCATCCTCAGGTCCCACTGGAAAGGGAGACTCCATAAGATCAAATATGATGGAACTAGTGCTAGGCATTGGGGTGGGGTAATTTATGACCTTTCAAAGAATTGTAACAGGAGGCTGCTCAAGTGGTGGTGTGATGCATGGGAGCCCTTAGTAGATAGACCATGGTAGCTGAGGCACTAGAATGAACACTTGAGCATCTCATTCAAAAACACTTCTGAGAAAGCTTGTACTGTTTCCCTCCTGCATCTTTTGAACTGTACTATACCGTTGCCTTCATTCCTAAAAAGGATCCTTCTTTTCTTTCCTAATGGTAAAAAATAAATTTGATTGTTGTCATTGATCTAAAGAGAAAAATATTTGATCATCTCAACTGGGGGGTTATATTATTGGTGAAAGCCCTTTTTAGAAGGTATACTGGTTAAACCATATTTAAATATAAATGACAAAAGAACTCTACTTTCTCTAGCCCAATGTTGTTAGTCAATTATTATACCCACGTTGTTAGTTACTTCTCTCACATCATAACACTTGGTACTTCCTCCTGTTCATTTCTAATAGTGTAGAACTACTTGCTTGTGGATTCCAGGTGCCACAATTGTTGTTTCTGGTGATGGACGCTATTTCTCAAAAGAAGCTATTCAGGTATGTTTGTTACTGTATATATCATACATCTATATCACTCAATCCTTGTTGATTCTGTTGATCTGATGTTTTTCTGAGTAACCAGCATAGTTTCAATAAAAAATGTATCATGAAACAACAAACAATTTATAAAGAAGTTCTCATTTGAGGGAATAAATTTCTACTATTTTCCTTATCCCTTTATCCAACATCAAGCTCTAAATTCTGTTTCATGGAAGCAATGCTGATCGTCAGTCTTGCAATTGCTTTCTGTAGTTAAGTTGCAAATTTTGTTTTTCAATTCTTTTGACTAGGTATTTTCACAAGGTTTCTTTCAATGTTTGAAATTGAATTATACACTGTAACACCTTCTTTGGATGCCTTTTTTTTGTTGGTTCTTCTTTTGGAAGGTGGTGGTATATCCATATATACATCTTTTTTATCAGCAGCAGTGGCAGTCGTGTATATATGCATAATAAAATTTTAAATTGTTTTGAGGTCCATATTTTTGTTTCATATTAGTTATATCATTTTGTTATCAATTGCTACTAGAAATGGTAGGTACTTCTTTGTTTAACTGGTGTGCTGTATTGGAATCAGTTCCAAATGAGTCATACATGTTTATTGGGGTGTGTATGGATTCCATGCTGTCCATTTTATGTTTTAAATGCTAAATTGTTTTCTTGATAATTTTCAGATTATAATCAAAATGGCAGCTGCAAATGGAGTAAGACGTGTTTGGGTAGGACAAAATGGATTACTTTCAACTCCTGCTGTATCAGCTGTGATTCGTGAAAGAGTTGGGGCAGATGTGAGTTCATCTTTTTGCTTTATAGTTCAATCCAGTAAATGACCTTAGAATATTTTGCTACCTATGCCTTGCTATATGCTTCTCTCTTGGCCATTTGGTTAAGCAAATAGTCATCATATTCATTAATAGATCTTCAATATCAGGGATCCAAGGCATCAGGAGCTTTTATATTGACAGCAAGTCACAATCCAGGTGGTCCACATGAGGTATGCACAAAATAGATTAGTTCATATTTGAGGCTGCCTAACAAGGGAAATGGTTCAGTAGTTCAGTTGATGGTTGCTACAAAACTATTTCTTTGACTTCAGGCACAGTCTGAAAGTGGAAGCTGTTCCATGCTTTGTGCTTTTAACAGTGTTAGGGTTGAATTGAGAAACTGGGTTGATTCTTTTTATATCCTTCATATTCTTAGCTTATTACATCGCTGGACTTGGAAACTTGATATTCAGGAATATTCTCAGTTCAATTTCTGCCAACTGGCCAAGGAGTAGAGCCTTAGAGGTTTTAGTTGAGCAATCTTCCTTCTGTAAACTAAGTTGTAAAGCAAACTAAGTGAATTGTTGAATAATTTGGAATATCCATTTATGTTGTATTCCTATTTTCCCATCCAGAATATCCAGTTGAAGAGAATTGGGGTTTCATGTGGGTTTCTTTACTGAAAGACCAAGTCATAGGTGCTTTGGCCAATGTATTTCTGCCTCCACTGTAATTTTTCCTTACTGATAAAAAAATTAGTATTGTCAACACCTCATTGGTTGAACTGGTGAGTGGTATACCAAGGTTCAAAATTTCGTTACATATCGGTTCGTATTGGCTGATACGTATCGTATTGGTGACCCACCGATACACCAAATATATGAGCTTTGGTGTTTTGACCTGTTTCAGGGGGTAGAGAAGCCTTAAATCAACCCCTCTGAACAGGTTTTGAAAAAAAAAAATAAAAAAATAAAAAAGGGGGTGTGTGGGGTCGAAACACCTGATATGCCCCATCCAGCGTATCGGTGTGTATTGATACTTGGAACCTTGGGTATAGCCTTGTGAGCAATTTTCTGAAAATCATCATTGTAGAGAAAGTTGAATTGAATTGAATTGTGAGTCGTATCGTAAATCATAAGATAATTTCTGTTTATACAAACTTATCAAAAGTTAAGAATAGTTCTCCTATAAAACATATAGAAAACTGATTTTATCCCTTGTACATTAGAAGCCTAAGATGATATAATCAAGTTTGACTTGAAAGTCAAATAACCCACATACAATGGCTTTTTAACCTACATGTAATGGAAAAAACTGAATCATTATCATAATTGTCATCGCGTTATTGTCATCATCTATGCCTTGTCCACATGAATCCTGTTTTTTCCATTCAATTCTGTTTAGTGCAACATCTTATCTTAAATAACCTAAATAAATCATTTTCTAGTAAGGGCTTTAAAACAAGTTTTTCTTAACAAAACTAAATAGAAACAAAGAAATATTGGGAATTGCATCATAAATTGTAAGAGTTTGGTAACATTTCCTGTGAGCTTTATGGGTCCTGGTTCTCTATTATTTTTACAGGCTGAATGATCTAACTGATTGTATCAGTAAAAATAATCTAACTAATTATTAAATTAGTAAAATTGTGACCTATGAGCTTTCTTTATTTCTTGTGTGTGTGTATGTGGGGGGAGGGGGGGGGGGATCTAGGTCTGACAGCAGTGTAAAAGAATCACAATTTAACCAAATCTTAAGTTCTTTAAGGCTTTTTTATTTGAGTATACAAATTAATTCTTCTTCTCAATGATATAGGTCGACTCTCCAGTGTCTCAATTCTGCTGAAATATTACAGAACACATACATGAGGTTTAATGACGTTGCAATTATTTCTTATCTTTATATCAGGATTTTGGAATCAAATACAACATGGAAAATGGCGGGCCAGCTCCTGAAGCTATAACAGACCAGATTTATGAGAACACAAAAACAATAAAGGAATACTTCATTGCAGAAGACCTTCCAGATGTATTCCTATAAGCTTAACATCAAGTCTACCCTTTGAATATCATAACTGTGTTTTCTTTGATCATGTTCTTATATTACCATTTTCAATACTTTGTTTAGGTGGATATTTCTACCATAGGTGTGACAAGCCTTGGGGGGCCTGAAGGAGAATTTGACATTGATGTTTTCGATTCAACTAGTGATTATGTGAAACTGATGAAGTAAGCAATCTTTTCTTTTTCTTTTTTTTTTCAATTTTTTCAAGGAATGAACAAAGTTCTAAATTTCTATTAATTTCATGCTTCATTGTTCTGAACTTGATTAAACATGATAGTGATATATGGTCATATAATGATCACTCCCAAATCCTATGTCATTAATTTATACATTGATGTTGATGCAGCTGAACCTTTTCCTCTCATGGAAAAGATTACATTGCATCTTGTATCCATGGATCAATCCTCCAGGTTAAGGGAGTTGTAGCTGCTGGAACTCTTACATAATTTATATGCTCAATCATATATGAGTGTAATGATATTTACACATACTTACGGGTTTAATCATATTTACACATTTATAAGCATATAGACAAAATGAAAAGAATTTGCAGTCTAGTATGCCACTCTAATGCATGTAGGAGAGGTGCTGGGGGGAGTAAAATGCTGAAAACAAGGACGATTGTGAGAACACCTAATTTAAAATAGCCTAGAATCTGGAATGCCTATTGAGACATGTCCACTGACAACCTCAAAGAAACCTGTTTGAAGTTATTCATTCATCACTTGTCATCCCACTCTCTAGCAGTGCCCACCCCAGCAGGATGCATCATACATGAGTTCATACTCCACTTTGATGGAAGTTCCTGGGGCAGATGGAATTGGGGCTATTTTTACAGGGCTGATGGAAGTATCTTTTGGGCCTTTAGTGGACCCATTGGCATTTCTGATTCCATGAGGCTGAAGTGATTTCCCTTCTGACAAGCAGGCATAGGAACTGATAGACAGCAGGACTTAGCCTCCTTATCCGTTGAAGGGAATTTTGTCAATTCAATTAGATGGAGTAAAGGGATAGGAAATGGTCCTGGAAATTTTACTGAGAAATTGCTGCCAAATGCTCAGAAGTTTGTTAGCTGAAAAATTATGTTTTACTGTACAGCTTATCACTTGATGCTTTTATGTTGTCATTAACTTCAAAGTTATGCTTTTCTTGTCATTTAGTTTTACATCTTTTATGACAATATTGGGTTTTTCCCAGATGCAATATAATATCAGAGGTCCATGCATGACCACTTGGTTGCTTCTTATCAAAACTTCATTCTCTCCTCACTTTTCCAGGTCAATTTTTGATTTCGAATCTATCAGAAAACTGCTTGCATCTCCAAATTTCACGTTCTGGTAGGTAGAGTGGATAGCACTTGGATCTGAAGGAGCATATGTTTAATCTTGCATAATTTTTATAATATTTATAGGATTGCTTGAATCCCCTTTCATTTCTGTTTCCCAGTTATGATGCTCTTCATGGAGTAGCCGGAGCATATGCAAAACGTATTTTTGTTGAAGAGCTTGGTGCACATGAAAGTTCACTATTGAACTGCACGCCCAAGGTATTTCTGACTTTCATGCATTAGTGTCATGTTTGCAAGGTTTAAAATTTCGTGACGTATTGGCTGATACGTACCATTTCAGGATGGGCACGATACACGGAACGGTTAGAATTATGTAGTTTTGCAGTTTTTTGTTGTATTGGACTGATACAGGCTTGTATTGGCTTTGCATTGGTCCATTTCAGGACTGTATTGGTCGATACAATTCCGAAATGGACCTATACAAGGTATGTATCAGCTGATTAGGTGTGGCAATTTCTCACCCAACCCGCTGAACCCACCCAACCTGCCCATTTATTTGGCAGGTTGGAAATGGGTTGATCACCCATTGGGTCAATTTAAATGGGTTGGGTTGTGGATAACCATTGGGTTAACCACTAAAGATACAAGTATTAATTCCTTAATCCATTTTTTTAAATTTTCTTCATTTGAGTGAAATAATTATAATTAATGCATTAATTTTCTATTAATTATTGACTAAAATTAGCTTTGCCTTGAATCAACACACTTCACCAAAATCGACATAAATCCAAATCAACTTGACTTGAGTTCGGGCTAGTTCAATTCGATCTAAATATGAACATACCCAATCACCTCAATTCGGTTCGTTTGGGTCGATCAGCCCAGTCCGAACCCAACTCGATCCATATCAGGCTGATCTGGGTCAACCCAAATCCGAAATGGTCCCAGATAGACTGGTTCAGTCAAAACCCGACATGATCAGACTCGAATCCTGGTTGCTTGCTTGGATTTGATTCGGAGTGTACAACCCTGCCTAAATTTGGACCGACCCAATTTTCTTCCCTTGACCCGCTTCGGGCCAGTTGATTCAGTCCCAAACCCGTGCATAACCTGATATGGGTTGGTCCAAGTCAACCTGTCATTGACTAAACCGGCCCGGTCTGGTCCAACCGGACTGATCCGAATCCAAACAGTTCAACCACTCTTGATGTGATTAGCTCGAACACCATCCAATTAGATAGTTCAAGTTAGTCTGACCGGTTTGAACCTAAGTGGTTCGATCAAACCCGAAACCCGAACATAGTCAAATGGCTTCACCACTTGTGTAAAAATAACATGCATGTAATGTGATTTGAACCTTCACCACTTGTGTAAATAACAACTATTATTACCACCAAGCTATGACCAACTTATATGTCAAGTGGGAGTTGGTTTTTTGTTTTAAGTACATAAATATAAGATTAATGGGTTTGGGTGGGTTAGATTGGGTCAAGGTGGGTTTGGGTTGAACCCAACCCATTTAATTTTATATAACTGGGTCATTAATGGGTTAGTGGGTTAGACAGGTTGGGTTGAAGCCCAACCCAACCAGCCCAATTACCACCGCTACAGCTGATACAACCTGGATTTTAATATCCCTCATTCCCTCCCTTTCTACTTTTTACATTCAAATTTAAATTTAATTTCCCTCTCCTCTCTCCCATTTATATCACTTTTAATTAAGCCTTTGAATTTGATACGTCATTAAATGTTAATATCACTTAATTAAATGCTAGTTTAAATCACTTTTAATTAAGGCATTTGAGACGCCATTAAATGCAAATTTAATTAATTTTAATTAAGTCAATATAATTAATACACCACCGAAATAGCTTGTTAAAAATCATAAGTTGAAGGTAGAAAGTTTTGAACCTTGATCATTCATTTACAACACCCATTAGTCCACCACTATGCATACCTTAATTATTTGTCTTAATAATATGTATTTTGATTCTTAAGTAGTCTTTCTTCTCTTAGGTTGTCAATACTCAATAAATGCTAAAATTTGATTATTAAAATTTATATACTAATAAATATAAATGCAAATTATATTTGTTTACTAAAAATTAAGGTATATATTATAAATATTATCTAAACCTATATATAATAAATATTAGTATATACACACACATTTTAGTTCTTCCATTTGTTTTCAACGGTTACCAATTATGTCCTGATACTTTATATAAACCATTAAAATATGTTTTTTTTTTTATGTTTAAATAAACTAGTTATAATCATATAAAACTCGTCTTTATTGTTGTTAATATATTTTTAAGGATTTTTTAGGGTATCCATACATATCTTGATTTTTTGCCTGTATTCATGTGTATCCAAGGTGAATCCCGATACACCTCTTAAAATTACCTTTCTGATACACCTTGCATTTCTGTTACTTTGAACCTTGCCTGTGTGCTAAAAATTTTTGGTGGTTATTTTTCTTAGGTTTTACATTTCTTTTTGGTTTACTTCATGCATGGCTTGGTGAAAATAGGAGGACTTTGGAGGAGGGCATCCAGATCCAAACCTGACCTATGCAAAGGAGTTGGTTGAACGCATGGGATTGGTTAAAACAAATTACCAAGATGAACCACCAGAGTTTGGTGCTGCTGCTGATGGTGATGCAGATCGTAACATGATCCTTGGTAAAAGGTGTGGTCACACTTGACTCTCAACTTTCCTTGCAAAGCAACACCTACAAGTTGGATTTTTTATGAGGCCTAGCATTTTCAACTTATATTTCTGAATCCTTCTTCAATGTCAGGTTTTTTGTGACTCCATCTGATTCTGTTGCCATCATTGCTGCAAATGCAGTTCAAGCCATCCCTTACTTTTCTGCTGGTTTAAAGGGAGTTGCCAGGTATGTATAGTGATCTATTTTTTTGGATCAGCAATAAAGATTTCATTAAATTGAAATATGTTAACAATACAATTCAAGACTGGAGATCATCCCTAGTCTCCCTTTAGTTACAATCAATGCCAAATTACAACTCTCCCAAAACATTTGCTCACTATAAACCCCTTGTTTTGCTAGAACATCAGCAAACCCATTTGCTGTTCTTTTGATCTGTCTGAAAGTAGCTCCAACTTCTTTCACTATACTGCCAATCTCCCTTATCACTTGTTTATAAGCCCAAACACCAAGACTGTTGTAGCTCATCTAGGAAATAACTGACTTTGAATCACCTTCCACCTCCACCTGTTGAAGCCCAAGTTATTTAGCCAATTTCATCCCTTGTAATAATGACATAACTTCAGCTTTGAAGTAATCTCCATTCCCACTCCTGAATACATTTCCATCACCCAACCATTCTCATTTCTAAAAACACCCCCAATTCTTGAAGATCCAGGATTGCTAATTAAGCTTCCATCAAAGTTTAGTTTTACTTTGTTGCATGGAGTAGGCTTCCATTCCATGATAATGGTTTCCTTTACTGTTGAGGACTTTGCCACAATGTCATCTACCGAGACATCTTTGAAGCCCACCATTGTTTCACCCAATATTCCACTTTCACTTTTATGCTATCTATTATGTCCTCTTTAGTCTTGTATTTCTCCTTAAAAATCCTTTCATTCTTTTTTTCCCAAATGGTCCAAATTAGATTCATGACTAGTCATCCTTACATGGGATTTAAGCAATGGTCCTACTCCGATTGGGAAGCCTGTTGAAACTTAATTTCTTCCCTTGGAACCCTTTCAATGTAGTTGGTAACATATGGTCCCTCGGGTATATTATGGATTCTTAGTTCAATCAGGACAAGCCCTAGAAACTTTCCTGTGAGTTCCTAGTGCTACAAAGAGTCCTCTATGTTCATTCTAGACTTTGTAATTATTGAGAATCTGTTGTAATGTAAGGACTTTTTGGTCTTTGTCTTCTTTTGTATTTGGGCACCAAATAGGGGCACTGTTGTAATTTGTTCTTATAATACAAATATTTTGTTTTGAGGGTGTGAACAGTAGCTAACACACCTCCTTCGAACAAACCCTTTGACTCCTTTTCTTCCTCTCCTCCTCCTAATCTTACAACTTGGTATCAAAACCACTCTTGGTCGTGGGAAGACATTTGTTGCTGACCCAAACTCTAGGGGGGACCAACTCTTGAATTTGATAGGGTTTGGTACACCATGAGTTTAGAGACATTTTGGTATGCTTCTTGTAGTCGTTTGAAACTTCTATGAATTGCTTTGATTTTTCCAAGCAAAAATCGACTAAAAATCTAGATTCGATATTTGGCCTTTTCTTTGCAATCTTGAATAAGTTTTCTACATGAAACCTTATTTCTTTAGCTCGTTTTAAGTTTTTGGATTGGTGGGAAGAGGTCTCGTATTTTTCTAAACCTTGGAAAATTTTTGGAAGTTTTTTTCTCTGCCCTTATTTTGCTACTAGCCAGTTTTGTCCTTGTTTTTGGCTTCCAACCATGTTTTGACCTATTTGTTTGGGTCTGTTGTGTGTTGGTTTGTTGTTGGGGTGCTTTTTGGCAATCGAGAGGTATAGAGTAGTCCAAGGATGTGACGGATACTTTGAGCATGCTTCCTGGAAATGTGGACAGGTAGCATGATAACCATACTAGAAACTTGATGGGACAAACTTTCTGTAGTGGTCCCAATCAGCTAGACTTACCTTCATAGGAAGAGCTAAGCTAGGATTCATTATAGATAAGGAAGTGAAGCCAAAGCTTGAAGATCCCAAATTTGTTAAGTGAGAGCAAGACAACTTGTTGGTAGTATCATGGTTGGTCTGCTCAATGCAGCCTCACATTGCCCGCAACTACATGTTCCTATCCATTGCCAAAGATATTTGGGATAAAGTTGTTGCCACTTACTCCCAGACTAAGAATACAACTAGAGTATATAAGCTTTAGAGGGAAGCTTGTCGTATGTGTCAGGGGGAGAGATCAGTGGCCATTTATGTTTCTTCTCTATAGTCACTTTGGGAAGAAATAGATCACTTGAAGGCTCAAGAATGGAAGGACCATGAAGATGGTGAACAGTACTGGAGGTATATTGAGGAGAATAGAGTCTTGGATCTCTTGGATGGTTTGTATCCTGAGTTTGACTTTACAAGGCAACACATTCTTAGTGTAGACATTGCATCTTTTTCAGTCACCTACTGCTTAGTGCAGGGGGAGGAGAGTAGGAGAGTTGCTATGGTGTAGCCTCTAATGATTAAGCACTCAATAAGCACAAGCAAGCACACTATCAATGAAAAGCTTGAAGATGTCTCTAGTAGTGTGCTTGCTTGTTTAAGACAAGAAGGAAAGGTAATGCCCCTTGGCTTGTTTGGTGGCCAAGGGGTATACTCAAACCTATGGCATAGACTATTAGGAGACATTTGTTCCTGTGGCTAAAATGAATTCTATTTGGGTGATTATGTCTTTGGCTGTCCTCTACTCTTGGGGACTTACAAGAATAAATTTATATTGAATTGCCTCTTGGAGTGAACTTCTCTAATAATGAGGGGAAAGCTTTTGTTGTCTAAAGAAGGCACTGTATGGACTTAAACAATCTCCTAGAGCCTAGTTTGATATATTTAAAAGGGTAGTTTTGAAGATTGGATTTTCACCATCTCAAGAAGATCATACTCTATTCATGAGAAGAGTTAATGGACGTGTGACTATGTTGATTGTGTATGTTGATGATATTGTTGTTACTAGGGATGGCATTTCAGGAATTACTCAGTTAAAGTCCTTTCTTGCTTTTGAATTTGAAATTAAGTATCTTGTTGATCTCAAATATTTTCTTGGGATTGAAGTTCCAAGTTCAAAGAAGGGGATTTTTATTTCATAGAGAAAATATGTTCTGGACTTACTCCAAGAGGTTGGGAAATTGAGGCTAAGACCCCAATTGATCTTAATCACAAGTTGAGTGCTACTGATGGAGATGTTCTGCCGGACAAAGGAGTTTATTAGAGATTGGTTAATCAACTCCTTTACCTCTGCTTAATTAGAGATGACATATCCTATGCAGTTGGTGTTTTAATAACTTAATATATGCATGAGCCAAGGACTTCTCACATGCAAGATGTCAAAAGAATTCTTGCATATTTGAAGGGATGCTTTGGTAAAGGAATGTTGTACTCTGACCATGGGCATTTGACGGTTGAGGACAGGATTTGTCGATGACAGGAGACCTACCTTTGGTCACTGTGCTTTAGTGGGAGACAATGTGGTAACATGCAGAATACAAGGCAAATGGCTCATGGATTGTCTAAGTTGCTATGGTTAAAGATCTTAAGAGATGGGAATTCGAACTGATACTCTAGTGAGACACTACTGTGACAACCAAGCAGCTATAAACATTGCTCATTATCCCGTACAACATGACTATACAAAGCATATTGAAGTAGACCAAAATTTCATAAGAGAGAAGATAGCTAGTGGAGAGATATGTCTACCCTTTATGAGATTAGAAGACCAACTTGCTAATTGTCTCATTAAGGGAGTTCACAAGCCAAAGTTTGATAGTTTTTTAGGCAAGCTGGGCATGATGGATATCTATGCTTAGTTTGAGGGGGTGTTGAGAATCTATTGTAATGTAAGGGCTTTTTGGTCTTTGTCTTCTTTTGTATTTAGGTGCCCAAATAAGGGCACTATTGTAACTTGTCCTTATAATACAAATATTTTTTTTCAAGGGTTTGAACAGTAGCTAATATACCTCCTTCAAACAAACCTTTTGACTCTTCTTCTTCCTCTCCTTATTCTCTTAATCTTACAAGTTGAACCAAAATACTAGAGTCCTAGTGCAACTAGGATTCATTCCTAGGAGTTCCAGTTCAACAAGGTTTCTTCCTATACTCATCCTAGTGTCACCTAGGGACTTATATAGGAGCCCTAGCATTATTGGGATTTCTTTGCTAGAGTCCTAGTCCAACTAGGATTCCTGGCCAAAGTTTCATTCAACTTAACTTCTTGACAGTGACATTCTTCTCTTGTCTGAACTCCGAAGGTGTAGATCCCTTATTGAACAATCTCAAAACCATAGAATCACTCATAGACACCCAATATACAAAGTCTCCTAGTCGCAAATCTTCAACAACTGTCCATGGCATGTCAAAGTGGATGTTCATAACCCTATAGTCCTGGAACTTCTTAGGTCCAAGGACTAAAAAAACTTTGCATATGATAGTCTCAAACTAGATCCTATCAATGTGTATCCCAATACACACCCATATGGTACTTTGGAGACTCAGCTCAATGGCTGAGGTCACATCATACCACACCATCTTATGGTAACCATCCATGTGCTAACCTTATAAGTAAGTTTCCCAGACTTACTCTTAGTTAGGATATTTCAGGTCTATAAGGAGCTGGGTCATCCAGATCTCCCATTGGTAAGTCTCGCTTATCATTCGAGTGCCCTATAGTATTACCTAGGGACCTATCAGTCATAGATAAATACAACTATAGATAGAATGCTTCATAAGAAAAAGTCTCATTTTATTAGTAAAGAGAATCAAATACAATGTACATTTGACTTTGAATGAACACATGGAAACCCCATTTCCAACAAGCAATGCTCCAACCATTCTCAGAAATACCAATGTTGGTCCCAGCTATCTGGGGTCTTGGGAGGGGTAGATTGGATACGGTCCTAACCTTTGGCATTTTTTTTTGCACAAACTGGCCTTTCTCAAACTTGAACCTGTATTCTCATGCTTCCCAGCCCGAGATTTTACCATTACACCAAGTAATATATACCATGAATACTTCTGTGGTCAATTGGAAGAATTGGTCTATCATTTGCTTATCCATTTTACAGGAACCTACAGTATACGGATACATTTTTTTGAAGCTGTTCAGAAGTAATTGGGCCTGTCCAGAAGACTCGGTGACCTTTTTCTCATCTTGGTGGATGAAAGGGTTGAGTAGAAAAGGGAAAATCCTTTGGCATTTCACACCGGCAGCAATATGTTGGTTGGTATGGACAGAGAGTAACAGCAGAACCTTTGAAGGAAAGTGAATGGAGTTTCTTGAGTTAATTGCCAATATTGAGAGGCGCATCATTTTTTGGGCATGCAGCAGAAAGGAGTTTTTTGGAGTCTCCTATAATGACTTTACCATTCATTGGAATAGTATCTTATGGGATAATGATTTTGCAGTATAATCTTTTTGTATAGCTCACATAAGGATTATTTGCTATAATTTGTAATTATTTTTCTCTGAGGGAAGCTCTCCGTCCATACTTTAATACAACACAATACAATACCTTTTACCTTTCAAGTAAGCAAACCATGAATACTTTTAATCACAACATGCCACAACTTGTCAATATCCAAAGGAAACTATCATAATCACTTCCTCAGTAGAGGGGTCAAATTGCCTATCCCCAAGCATCCTTATTTGCATCTACACAGTATTCCCCACTTATAAGGTGGTCATTTTTGGACTTACCCGAAGACCACAATAAATGCCTTGTTATGCATTCCAACTTTTCTATCTTGAGAAGAATTCTTGATAGATAGAAATAGACTAGGATGTTTACAAGGTAGACTTAATTAAAGTTATTTGGCCTCCTAGTGAGATATAATTTTGTTTCCAAGTTGTCTATCTCTTAGTGAACTTGGTCTAAGACAGGATTCCAAAAAAAGTATTTGACCTTTGATTACCACCTAAGCAAAGTCCTAAGTAGGTTAAAGGCAAATCAGAACAAGCACATCCTAAAATGTTGTCATAAGATACCTCCCTGCTTTTCAAATTTATGCCCCCCAAACAGCTCTTCCCTAGGTTCACTCTAAAACCTGATATGGCTCAGAGCAACTGACAAAGAATTCTAGATTCCCCATCTCCTTGTGGACCCTCATCCTCACACAATGAACGCTAATGCTTTCCACAGATAATATTTTTTGGCTAATCTCAAAGATCCCCTACTTGGTGAAGTATCAGATTGCCACATTATTCCTCCATGTGGCAGAAATATGGCAGGTTATGTATGGAAGCTTCATAGTTGACTTAGATTTTTGTCAAGTTGCATTTTTTTGAAGGAGCATATTTTACATAGAATATTTCGAATGTTGCCTAGTATTTTGCCACCTTTTTAAATAGGATGTAATTATCTTTTATTGCATATCATTACATGCTTCATTAATAGTGCTAAATTATTTTCCACTCAAAAGAAAAGGTGGTAATGGAGTAACTTGATTATTTTGGTTTTGTTGCCTGCAGGAGCATGCCTACATCAGCTGCACTTGATGTTGTGGCAAAACATTTAAATCTCAAGTTCTTTGAGGTATCTTGTAATACAAAGAGTGTCCCTACTGGCTGGTTACCTTTCTCTGTTCCTAAAGAATTTAAACAAAGAGTGCCCCTAAAGTAATTCCTCTTCTGATCAGTTTGAGACTTTGAGAGACCTTATTTGGTTACATTTCTCTGTTCCAACAGGTCCCTACTGGCTGGAAATTCTTTGGGAACTTGATGGATGCTGGGTTATGCTCAATTTGTGGTGAAGAAAGTTTTGGAACTGGTATTCAGAATTTTCAGTTATGGAACCATCTTCTAGTGTATTCTACAATACAAAAACCACCTGCATTTTGCCAAGTTTTCTTTCTTTACAGGTTCAGATCACATACGTGAGAAAGATGGAATTTGGGCAGTATTAGCCTGGCTATCTATTCTTGCCTTCAGGAATAGTGACAATCTCAATGAGGGAAAACTGGTGACCGTTGAGGACATAGTTCGTGAGCATTGGGCTACTTATGGTCGCCACTTTTATACTCGATATGACTATGAAGTATGATACATATTTTCTACAGTTTTAACATTTCGGTTTCCTTGCAATAACAACCATGCATTACCTGTTTTTAACTTTTCCAAACTGTTGTGAAGAATGTTGATGCAGGTGCAGCAAAGGAGCTAATGGCTTATTTGGTCAATCTTCAATCTTCGCTTCCTGATGTTAACAAGTATGCTACTTCATGTTCCAAAGCTCAGAATCTTGTCTCAAAACACTTATTTATTTATTATTATTGTTATAATTATTTGTTAATAACATAAGTATGTTCTGTTGTCTAGGAAGAAAATGGAAGGAAGTAAAAAAAGTGATAAAATTTGTTGGATGTTTTTATTATTTATTTGTTTATTTGTTATTAAGCTATCTCATCATGAAAACAGAGAAGAAGGCTGATCTTTGAATAGAAAAAAGAATGGATCTGCAGGGTGCATTGGGCCTTTTCATCAACTAATATATATAGGCTAGTTCGCCATATTTTTTCTTGACAGAAAGATAACDAGATGGCTCCATGTGCTCTGTTTCATTATCTGGATTCTCTAGTGATGAATCAACAATTCAAAGTGTTTATTTATTTATTTTTGAATGCTCTGGATGAATCATGTTTATATATAGCACCTTGACTAAGTTCTTTGACTTATAGTAAGCAGTGTTTTGAAAGGCGTGAGGCACTCCCAAAATGCCCTGAGGCGTATGCCAGAGGTGCTGACACCTCTGTGGTGTACACCTCAGGTGCAAGAGGCATACGCCTCATGTGCTTTTTTCATGAGGTGTGCTAGAGGCGTATGCCTCATGCGCCTCATGCAGACCTCATATAAAAGGACTGAAAAAAAAAAGAAAAAAAGGAAAGGAAAGGAAAAGAAAAGAAAGGAAGGGAAAGAAAAAGAAAGAGAAGGAAAAAAAAAGAGAAAAGGAAAGGGAAGGGAAGAAAAGATAAGGGGAAAGAAAGTGGTCTGCCCCTGGCCCCCCAGACCCCTTCAACTAGTGCTGTGCATCTTTATTCTTCCTAATATAAAAAAATTTGCATGAGGTCTAAGTCTAACCTTATACTAAATTTGGTCCTGAATGCTGCTAGTACAACTTCTTGCTCAAACTAGTTCAGCAGACTGCATCAGTTCATCTCCTTCTATGTTATGCCAAAACACTGTTGGAGCTTGACTGGTGAAATACTTCCTGCAGTTCAGGTAAAACTTTGGTTGGTACAATACTCAAAATATTTCAGGCAATTTCAAATTCCTTGTTTAGTTTCCAGATAAATGAAGCAACTCATCAAGTAAACATATGCGTGGTATTTTGAACTTGGATTTTCATCTTAAGTGAGCAGGGTATTGGGCAATCAAGAAAAAAATGTCCAAAAAATGATTGTGGCAGAAATGTGAATGTTGAGATGGATGAGTGGGAATGTTAGGACAGGATCAGAAGTGAACTTATTTGAAGGAACCTAGGAGTAGCTGCAATGGGCAATAAAATGAGGGGAAATAGACTAAGATTGTTTGTGCATTTGCAGAGAAGACCATCTACAGTACCAGTAAGAAATAATCTGTTAAAAGTTGAAGGAGCTAGATGAGCTAGGGGCAGACCAAAAAGGGACATGGGTGGAAGTTGTGGAAAATGATTAAAGGATCCATTGTTTAAAATTGGATATGACAATGAATGGAATGGAATGATGGAACCAGATTCATATAACTGATGACTTATTAGTTGGGACAAAGCTTAGATAGTGGTGATTGATGATTTTCATCTTAACCTTTCTAGGATAGCAACTTTTTTTTGGTATCATCTCATAATGCAAAAAAAACAATTGCTTAATGGACAATTATACTGTGAGCAATGTTCACAACCATGTCAGTCCTGCTACATTTCGTCCTCAATGGAGTAGTCTGAATCTGTCTTTTGCCTTGGGTTTAATAGTAAGTTAATGCTTGCTGATAAAAAAAAAATAGTATGTTAATGCTTCTTCTTGTGGTTGGCAGATTTCTTTTCTTGTTTAATGTTCAGTCTGATAACTCTGCTGCATTTCTCTGATTTGTAGTGAAATCTGTGTTATTGATACAAAAAGGGGGCTTTGACGTTTCTTTTCTCCACAGGATTACAAAGGGAATACGATCAGATTTACCAGATATTGTCCAGGCTGATGAATTTGAATATAAAGATCCTGTTGATGACTCCATCTCAAAGCACCAGGGTGTAAGATATCTGTTTGAAGATGGATCACGATTGGTAAACCATTTCTGTCCATGCCCCTTATTATTTGGATATTAAGTTGTGAGAACAGATACTGATAAAGAAAATGTGTTGTGAGAGAGGATAATGTGTAATTTGGATAAGGATGGATTAAAATTTTCTGTCATGGATATCCAACCTTTTAATAAAATTCTTGTGATATTTTTAGAATCTCTGAAGAAGCAATAAAATGTTAGTTTAATTAATCTGGAATTGAAAATATCAGTGGATACTACTGTTTCTTCTTTTAGTTCCTCTGAATATTGTATAAGACTAAATCATATGCATTTCTTTTCCCAAGTTCTCCCGTGAGAACGAGACAATATTGGTTAAAGGAATGCAATACTAACTTTCTGAAAATTTACAGACCATAAGATTTCTGATAGCTATATGTATAAGACCGAAGCTGAGACAAGATTTGGCTGTAACAATATTTGATATGAAACTCTCTCTCTCTCTCTCTCTCTCTCTCTGGTTTCCTCCTTAACATCTCTTGCACCATAAATTTCATTCCAGGTTTTCCGTCTCTCTGGAACTGGCTCAGAAGGTGCGACCATCCGTCTTTACATTGAACAATATGAGAAGGATTCCTCAAAGACAGGAAGAGATTCTCAAGAAGCACTTGATCCTCTAGTAAGGATCTTTATTTCCTTCTGACAAGCCTTCATTCCCTAGCCTTTTGTTTATATTGGAACTGACCTTCATTCCATGTTGACAACAGGTGGAGGTTGCTCTGAAGCTTTCTAAGATGGAGGAGTTCACTGGCCGATCTGCTCCCACTGTAATTACATAGATTGACTGCCGTACAGCAGCAAGGTTTTGATATTCAAATAATACATCTATATCATAAGCAGTACACCAGTACTGAGAAATTCAGTGAGTTAATCTTATGTCATACGATTTGTTCCTGCCATGTGCCATGAATCAGTATGGGAGAGTGTCGAGATTATATGGTGATTCAAACTTATCCAATTATTATTATTTTGATTTTATGTTTTTGCATGCAAGTCATTTGGGTACATTCCAATTTGGATACAAGGGGGGCAAATCCCCCTAATTATTAGGAAAGAAGTACTCATAGACCTGCCAATCGGGTTGGGTTGGGTCAGGTTCGAGTTGGGTCAAGGCATTTTCGGGTTGGATTGGCAAAGGTTAGACCTTAACCCTAAATATTTAGGTTAGGGTTGACCCCTAGGTGAATGGTTTAATCACCCGGGGCAGCTGTTCTTTGACCAAGTCAACAATTTTTTTATCAAAAATACAGGTTTAACCATTTGGTTCAAACAGTTTGAACGGTCAACCTTCCATAACAAACACTGTTTTGAAAATGTTGGTTTGGAAATAGGGGACCCGGTGGTGACCCAAAATAGATTTCAGGTTGGGTTATGTCAAGCTCCCTTCTATTTATCAGATCTAAATAACGTTTGAAAGGGCAAATTCCCGATCCCTTTTTCCCTTTTTTCTTTGTACGAGAGAAATTTTTGGTTAATTAAAAATGGTATGTGCCCAAATCACTCTGTAATAAAAAATCAACTGATGTGATGTATTGAATTTATTGCAACTATCAACATGTTCGCATTTCACGGAGGTCGCTGAACATGGTCGCAGTTAATGCGAGCTCTCTGTATGAATGATTATTTCTTCTCTAGGGATGTTCACCGTTAATCGCAGGTAATGCGAGCTCTCTGTATGAATGATTTTTTCTTCTCCAGGGATGTTCACTGTTAATAAAAAATGGAAAGTGCCCAAATTGCTCTCTCTCTCTCTCTCATGGTTCATGTTTGAAGGTTTTTTATATATATAGGGCAGCTGCAAAAGCTGAGGTATAATCTAGGAAGCTGTAGAGCTCGAGATAATAAGCTAGATCTCCCATGTTCTATTTTCTATTCCAAATGGGCTATTGAAATTTTCGTTATTAGTATTATGTAGTTGGCATTCAGGGGAATGAGAGGATATCGGTTTATTAAACATTGTAACTAATCTTGCCCAGTGGAAGGCAAGTTGACAGCTGGTGTATCATCGACATTGTAAACTATAAATATGTTTCCGGTTCGACCATTTTCAATGAAAGAATTCATTCAATTCTTCTGAGCCGGGTTGTCAAAAAATAAAAGAAAAAAAAGTAGAGGCCTTTCTCTTCTCCTTGGATCTGTCATAGAGAATGACCTCCCCTGGCTTACATTCGATTTGATTCTTTTACAACAAGATTAGTCTTCCTCTCCCTGTCATTCTATTACTATTAATCATCTCTTTTGACCTTTATTCTGTAAAGACTAGTCTCAGTTTTCAGTCTTCAGTCTTCTCATGGTGAGAGGATGAAAGGTGACACAAGACCGCAGATGTTTTAATAATGGGTTATACATACTAGTGTGGTAGAACACTGCTCATTTTCAGCCTCTCATTTCATGAGAGCTAAGGTACTACAATGGGACTCGGGGTCATAAAGTGGCACACATGCCAATATAGTTGTGGTACATAGTTCATTCTCTTATCATATAGAATGAACAGTGCTCCCACATGCTAGCATTTGCAAATTTGTGTTGAGTTACAATAGAAAAAAGGGTTTAACCCATGGAACTTTATAGGTTTAGCCCATGCTATGGGATTCCTTGCAAGCAAAAGCTTTGTTCACACTCTAAACTAAAAGCACATGAATCCAGTCACATATTGGGAACATCTTCCCATAAATGTAACATATATGTACATGTACAGGAGATATTCCCAATGTGTGACTAGATGATATGTGAGCAGAGTTTTCTCAAGAGATGAAGTTTCTAAGAATTTTACCTCCCGGTTATATCCTTAAACTGGTCATGAGGTCAAAGGGTCAAAGTATATTAATTAGTGTTACCCAAGACCTATGAAAGAGATATTGGCTCCTCAAAATCACAGAATGAATCTTCCCCCTAGAGATTAGACAATTAATAGTCAGAAATTTGATAGTGGCTGTCTACATCCTTCATGAAATCTTGGAGGAATGTGGGCTTCCCAAATCCGTTTCCATGGTAAGCTAAAGAGTTTAGCTGGTCTGATAGAGCCTCATAAAATTATTTCAATTAGAATTTAACATAAGTGCAAGTGTAAAGAGGTTTTGCTTGCAGGAGGAGATTCGGGCTTATAGAAATCATGGACCAGGAAACCAGACCATCTGATCTTCCACCAACTCCAAACACTTGTAGCTTGTGGAAGATCAGCAATATTACAAGGGGAGCGATCTGGGCACATCCACTTTTGATAAGTACAGAGCGCACTCCTGTTCAATATTGCTTAAAGAGTGCATGTCTTAAAAGGCAAAAACACCCCTATGTTTTTCCCTCTTGTCTGATAATTAACCAACAGTGGCTTCTTAATTTGTTTTTTCACTAGGGATTTGTATCAAATAAGAAATTGTCTTAATCTCTACCCGTATATTATAAAAAGAAAGGAAGTCCAACTGAGGGGAATCTCCATTCCAACAATCAGTCCAGAAATTGATTTTGGAGCTATCATCAGGATTAAGACAATTTGTTTGATGATTTGTTACTTAATATTTGAAGTAGTCATTCCATGAAAAAGCATTGCATAGCTTAATTAATCTATATAACATAATTGACAAACTAATACGGTTATTCAATCTCCACATACGACTTTAGGTTGGGGGAGGCTCATGGTTTGTCATCATGTGTGTGAGATATCCTGCCACAATCTCAATTATTGTGTTAGTATCAAATAGGAAGTTGACATCATTATTAATCTGATATGTATCTCTATATCAATTCAAATCGATCTCTATTTGAACTACCAAATCGATTTTGTTACTACTTCAATTTGGCCTGAAAATGATGTTTCTATCCTAATTCTTAATCAAGCTTTATTTATTTGGGTCATCGTGTTAATCCATTTTACAACCTTGGTAAGATTAGGGTTTGGCTGAAATATTTCACAAATATTGAAGAACAGGAAAGGACTAACCTGGTATATATGTTCATAATTAGTAGTTCTGTATCCTTAGAACACTAAGGGGGTGTTTGACAACATGGTTTTGTTTTAACAAAAACAACTACTTTTCAATCATCTTTGATCTTTTTTTTTTTTAATTTTCTGTCTTCTGACATTATCATCATCATCATCTTCTAAGCCTTATCTCAACTGTAAAGGGTCATGTGCATGAATCCTGTTTGGCCTTTCTGTTTTGTTAATCTCATTTCCATTATTAAATTATGGATATTTAAATCATTTGTTATCACTTGTAGCATGTTTTATTTAATTTTCTTCCATTTCTATACATGCATGCAGAAGTACTTTGGTAAATTACAAAGAAAACTGACAAATGAACCGGGAGGCACTTGGACCAATAAAAATTCCTACCTCTTTGTCCTTTTCCAGTGATGACAATATTGGCCAATGATAAAAAAAGGTGCAGTCAACACAGGGCACTATTTGATCAATTATTTTTTACCAAAAAAATATTGACCAAACAGTGCCCTGAGTTGACTCCAGTGAAGCTTCCTTGAACTTATGAATGAGGGATCTTTTCCTTCCCTGCCTCATCAAGATTTTTATTTTTTATTTTTGGCTTCTTCATTCTATTCGATGGAGAGTGGGGATCGAGGTGATAATTGGTAGGTTCTGTTTGAGAGGATAAATATGGGCAAATATTATTTGGATAAATATTTCCCAGAAAAGACTTACTTCGATAAATATTTTTTCCAAAAAAAACGAACAAATACCACCCTTAATTTGGATTAAGTCCATTTTACATAAATGAGCAGAAATCATTTCATTATGCATTTGAACAGCTCATATGGTCGTCATCTCATCTCGATATGAAGACAAATCGAAGAAAAGCTCATACTTATGTTGTCAATTTTTCTATCTTATCATGACTTATTCATGGTATGTAATACTTAAGGTCCGTTTGGTTCGTAACGTAATCAAAATCGAAATTGGAATCGGAATTAGAATGATTCATTCTTTCTTATAGTCTGTTTGATTCAGAAAGGAGTGAGAATGAAAATTAAAATCAGCAAGAATAAAATTTCATTCCCAAGGGAAGGTAAAGAATAATCATTTCCTCAAATAGAGAAATGCCATTCGGATTCCGATTTCAAACCCTATTCCTGCAAACCAAACGGACCCTTAACATCAGAGCTCGTCCTGTTTTGTTTGGTTTTTTGTTCAAATGCATATACAAAAAGACAAGTACGTGTAAGTCTCTTTCAAATAAATATATTGATATTCATCAGTCGTTTCAGTACAGTACGTAGTTTCGTTTTGTATTCTAAGTTTCATGTATTGACACGTAGCACACGATAGGATCCAACTCTTTACGTGTCACAGCCCAGAAGTGAAGGGAACACCGGCAGCTGCAATCCAAGATCCTCCCCCCAAGAAGCTCCCGACGGTGAACTCTCCGGCCTCCTCAGAACTCATGACGCGATACCCTGGCCATGTGACTCGCCCACTGGTGCTTGCCCCCGCACCCGAGTTCATGAACTCCCCGTAGTACAAAGTGCTTAATGCAAAGCTGCCACTCCACTCGAGCCACCCCGCCGGGTCGATGAGGCTGTCAAGAGATGTCTTCATGAACACAGTCCTCGAGTACTTCTGCCATGGCCGTCCGAGGTATGTCTTGAATGAACCCTGCACAGCTCTCAAGTCCGAAGCGGCCGTGACACGGGAATTGTGGATTGAGATGCCTGTGTTCTGGTTAGGGTCTGTCCTTGCCTGAGCCGTTACCGTATTCTTCTGACCGCTCAGGGGCTTCCTAACGTAGATGTTGCAGTTCTGGAAGACAGCAGCGGCGTTTCCACAAATGAAATCTTGTGTGCCATAGATGTCGCAGTCGCGGTAGAATTGGCGCTGAGAGTGTACGTATAAGGTGTCCTGGTAGCCCTTGAAGCTGCAACCGTAGAGCACTGAAAGATCAGAGCCTGAGCGGAGGGCAACTGCTTGGTGGTTCTGAGGTCCGGCTGAGTTTTCGAACGTCATATCACGAGCAATGAAGCCACCACCACTGACCGCTGAGAAGACAAAAAAGTCTCTGTAAGTAATTCTCCCATCTTTAATCTGGGCTGTACGGAAAATTGATTAAGCCACAGATATAGAGAGAGAGAGAGAGTCAATGAAAAGTGATTGTGTGGGTTCTGGTGCAGTATGAATTCAATTGCCTATGTATAGATAGTAGATAGGGCAATAGCGACAAAAGGGTCACAGAAGCTTCTTTATTCATGTGGGACCTTAAAAAGTCTAATGTTCTAATTCAAAATTGAAACTTCAAACGAGGGACCAAGTTTCTACTCTTATTTGAACCATGCAAACCTAATGTTTATTAATTATCATCTCTTACCAGGAATTCAGTTGTTAATCCATGAAGAGAACTACTTACCAACTGTTGCCGATCGAAATGTTGTGGAGCCTTGTTGAACGTTTCTACTGCTTGAAACGATAGTAGCATCTATCCCATCTCCAATTAACATGATGTTTGAGGCCCTGATCTCAACGTTTTCTTTGTAAACACCCCTTTTCACATATATTATAAATCTCGACCCACCTCCTGAAGCTGCTGCCACAGCCTCAGAGATGGTCTTGTAATTACCAGACCCATCGGCGGCAACCACCACATCAGCTTGTGAGGCTGCCCCAGATGACTGAAGAAGCTTCCTGTCAGCAGCCGAGACCCATGCTGGGAAGCCATCAGAAAGCAACCGGCGGTTACCACCTTGCCTGCCAAGCAGTGAAGCAGAGGATGAAGCTGCCGCCTTGTTTATGGCAAGCGAGTTGCTAACCATCTTGGAGAAGTTACTCAACATAGAGGGAAGGGAGGATAGCCGATGAGACAAGTTTAAGTCCATGAACCCATTTCGACAGGTTTGCTCGTTGGTGAGTGCAGCACTCAGCCACGTTTGAGAATCGGACCAGCTCAAGGGATTCTTTGAACCCAAAGAGCGATTAAGCTGGCTAACTGTGTCAGCATAAAGCTCCACACAATCAGCCCATGCCATCTTGACCTTCTCATCAAAGGAGCTCAAGTCCATGGCCGAAATGAGCCCATGGGCTCGTTGGGCTTGGTCCATGGTGACACTAAGGGCAGCATCACGGAAACTGAATTGGGTTTTTTCGTCTAAGGTGACAAGATCATGTTTGGAACTCATGAAATATTCACATATTTCAGGGTATGGGGTTTGGCTACATGATATTGTATTTGCATCACCATTCACCACCCCTACAACAAAAGCAAGACAAACACTAAGAAGAAGACCAAATGCAAGCTTATCCATGGAAACACCCCAAGTTTGCTAATTTACTACTCTATTGCATGCATTCAAATTTTAATGAAGCAAAGGCTCTTTATATAGGCACAAATTTGGCTCCAATCAGCAAATATTGATGGTACATATTTGGACGCGTGGAGGGATTAGAAAGGATTCATGATGTTTACGTATGAAGGGAATCTGTAATTCACATTTGAGTTGAAGAGACATTTGCTTCCAAACTATTAGGCTAACGTCACTGCAATTGCTCTGAGAATACAAAAGAACAAAATTGCAAGACCTGGGAGTCAACTCATTGTAAATTAATATTAACTATGTCTTTCAAATGAGTCCGGATCTTCTCCTCACACAACTTACCTCATACTGAATTCTCACAGCAGTGCATTGGAATATCTCTCATATTTGTATTTATTATCTATGGAAGATATTCTCAATATAGGATAGGATGTGACTGTAAGATCAGTGTGAGACGCACTTTGTAAGGAACAGATTCCAATTCCTTTCAAATGAGGGCATATATTCATTTGATTTTTCTTCTTTTCCTTTTTCCCATCTTTTGTGTTTGATCATGTGCAATATCTGAACTGAGGGGTCTGGCTTACAAGTTACAACTGATTGATTCTTCGATATGCTAGAAAAGTAGAACCTGATGGATCATATGGTTATAATTAATCCTGAAGTTTGGTGTTTAAAATAAGAGTTGCAACATGATCAGGTATTGGTGGGGACGTTTAAATAGACATATATGATGATCCTCACTCATCTTAGGGTGTAAAAGTTGTGAGAGTTGCAGTTTGGTGTTTAAAACTGTGTATTGGAAATATCTCCCATTAACAATTTCGAGAGATATTTCTAATACATGCTGAGATGTGCATGTGGGGATATTTGTGGGGTGAGGATGTGATCTCTAAATGGTGGTAATAGTGGGGGGAAGTTGGTCACTGGTAAAAGGATGGATTCACCAGGTAAGTGCATTTTCCATGGTAAGTGATATTTCATCTTTGACTTGGATAAATGAATTTTCCCCAATATTGAGATTATATATTTATGAATTTTAATAATAAAAAAAATGTCCCTTATCATTCCTACTTGTATGAATCATAAAAAAGAACACATATAAATATGCTTATCTGGATAACCACATTTACTTGGATAAATGTATTGTCAAAAAGCAAATGGGGCCTCACAGGGATGATTTGGGCACATCTCATTTTTATAAAGGGACTCTATTCATTAAAAGGTAACTAAATACTTCAGTTCCATGTTTGGATTCTTTTATTTCAAAAAAAAATGGTCTTTATGTTTCAACTAGGGATGCATGTGCCTGTTTTTAAAAATGAGAATGTGCTCTGATCACTCCCCTTCATTTTATCTTATCCTTCAAATACTTGAGTGAATGTTATAAGAGTTCATTTGGTCATGTACTTGGTACGTTGAAGTTCGTGAGTACTTTTCTTTTGTTTTTATATGAATAGCAAACTGACAATACTGTTCCAAGTCTTGTAGACCTTTCAACGCTTAACTCTACCTCAATTGTTCTGAGCATCTTTATTTAATTAAGGACTCGGGACCCACCATTTCAGGTCAGGGCTCCCACTTGATAATTAAATAGTCAAAGAAATTAAGGCCCTGCTTTTCGGCAAGTTATTTATCTGGGTAAAAGAGTAAGTGCATTTACTTATATTTTTTTATTTTTCAAATAAATAAGGAAATGATTATTTTAGTCATAAAAATTTATTATTAAAAAGAGTATTTTTATTTCATTCAAGTATTAGCAATTTTCCTTCTAGGTGGAAAAGTTATTTATCCACTTAGAATATGGATAAATAAACTTTCCCTGATAGGAGAGTGATACCCAGAAAAATAAACTTTCCCTAGTCCCCATATTAATCTGAAAAATGAACATAGAATTCTAAAATTCAAAAAAAATAACACTTCTAAATTGAACAGATGATGACAACTATGTCTCTTATGTTGAAAGATAAAAATTCAATTCCACAAATATTAAACAGTTTATCTTCATAGAAAAAAAAAAAGAACATAAGCTTATTTTTTGGTGTAGGCAATCTCTTCATTGAGATGCAATGAGACAATCATATAACACTGTGTGGTCCTAGATCCAAGTCCTCCCCATAAAAATGGGCTTCCCCCACTTGTTCACTATTGCTATTGGAAGGTTTGAGATTCCCATGAAAATGAACCAGGACCCATGCATTTGGCAATGTTACACTTGTATAGCACTTTCATTCATTTTCCCATTTCTGACAACACTTGATCAACTAGTTTTGTAGTTTTGTTCAAGTAAGATCTTTTATATAATTGATGTGTAGCTACTGGTAAGTACCATCAATTTAATTAATTAAGCATTATTTGATTTGTAGTTCCATTGCCCCTGATTCACTATTTACCATAAAGCATATTACAAGGAACCCATTACCCATGTAATAAAGCTGGGCTTAGTAGTTTTTTTTTTTTTTTATTTATTTAATTACGTATTGTACATTTTACAGGAGATTAAGGTAAACCGGGCCATGCCGTTTGTGGCCTAACACGATCATATGGGTTATGTTGGGCCTGAGGTTTCAGGTCCATGGGCCGGAATGGCACGACAAGATCGAGCGGGTCATACTGCCTATAACCTGCATCTCGGCACAGTCCAACACACACACACATACATACATGTATATATATATATATATATATATATATATAATTTTATTATATTATTTCATTTTAGGCCTATGGTTGCAAATGGTTGATACAATTGGATATATATGTCTTAGATACAAATTTGATCTTGGATTCAAATAGATTCCTAACAATTGGATTTAATTAGACAGGGTTTTCGATTGATATTGAATGCTAACAACTTATGTCATGAATAAAATATTATTGTCATAATAGTTTGCATTATAAATAAATTGAATTGAAAATACTTTTTAATACTGTATATCATGAATAAAATAAACTGAAAAGAAATTTTATGAGACTTTTTTTTTAAAACTTTTATGAGACTTGAACTTACAATTCCTTAGTAAGCACAAAATATTAAAGTAAACTGAAAGATACAATATAAGTTTTATGAGACATAAATACATCTATATTATATAAAGCATATATTTACCTTAGGTTCCATGCAGATCATAAAAGTTAATATTCAAATACCATATATAATATTATGGTTAATACTTGCACATATGCGCATATTGGTTATTGCATAAGGCAAATACTTGCTTGATTTCAGTGAAAGTCATAAAAGTTCAACCCAAATACCATATATGTTAATACTTGCATATGTGTTTAGCAGGTGCTCTTCCACTAGTATGTTTGAATACTATTGGATTGGATAGGAGTAGATTCATATTTAATCCAATTATAAAAGGATTGAATTCAGATAAGTCGAAGGGATATTATTTTTACTTTTTTATAAGTAAAAGGGATATTATTTTAGCCCTCTATAAAGGTCCTCAATCTCCATAAACCACTTTGATTGAAATGTTTTTTTATAATTAATGTATAATAGATGAGATAAATATCTTCCGTTTTAGCGTATGTTTGGTTCTATGGGAGTTTCCTGAGAGGCCTTCTTTTAGATAAACGTTTATCTGAAAAGTGACACTTTAAAAGTTTTTAGCCTTTCATATTTTGTTGGACATTTTATGGGTGTTTCAAGTAACACCCCATAAAATTGCTTTCCACTTCAGATAAAGTACATCACATCAGCATTTCATTTCAAAAAATGCACAGGCATATGGGGAAACATGAATTTGACATTTCCTGGCCCAAATGCCCCATGCACATAAATCAAAGCATTTCTGCTTTCTAGTATTTATTTGATAAATAGTGAAACCAAATAGTGGTTTCATACAATGTTTTAAAATGCGACCCGGAAACAGAATCGTTTTGGGCACTGGTTTCCGGGTCAATGGTTCGACCGTCCGGTTCGAACAGACAACCCATTCTGATAGAAAAATTAAAAACAATTAAAAAAATTAAAAAAATTAAAAAAATTAAAAACGGTCAAAAACCGTTGAACGAGTTGACGGTTAAACTACTCGAATCAACGATTTATTGACTTTTTCAAAAGTTTTTGACTAGATTCCAGGTTTGGGGTAAAACGAAACCGATTGCCTGGACGGTTTCCAAGCCGAATGATCCGAGCATCCTGATCAACGGAGATTCGAAAACATTGATTTCACATGCACTAAACACCAACACCTATGTGGTGTTAAGTGTGGTAGCGTTTTTTTAATAAATACCCACAGACCAAACATATATTTAATCCTTGTCCCGATGTTCCCATTTATTATATAAGATCTTATGACATCGTTCTCTGTTTTCTTTACCGGAGAGGAAACATAAGAAATTGAAAGAAAATGAAAGAAAAGGACACTTTTAAATAAGAATCACAAATTAGTCATTAAGTTCTATCCATTAGTTTTTAGTGGTTAGGGGGGCTCTAACCATTCTTTAGACTTTTCAGTATTGAATGGAGGATACAAAATAAATAAGACAAATCATAAAGATTTTAATTGAGAAGAGTTTAGGGGTTTGTATTTTGTAAGGGCTCTACCGAAGGGTTTGTACTAAATCGTACACTAAGTCACTAACTAACGTGAATTCATTAAAATTCATGGGGTGGGAATTTCATTGTTCAAATTTTAAAAGTGACATCTTCCATGTCCTTTCACTTTTAAGAGTTTGAACTATCTTTCTATCAAAATCATCTCCATGGATTTCAATGAATCCTCGTTGGTTAGTACTTGATAGTAAAACTCCCCATAGTTGTCAGGTTTGATGGAAAAGGTAAAGAAATTTTTACATTTACAAATTAATCTTGTATAGGTTTCCTTACTTTTTCCTTCCTTTTCCTATTTTTTTCTTCAAATTAAACACAGCCTAAAAGTCTGAAATTAATCTGGTATACAAAAGTTATAAAAATCATATTTGAATAGTTTTTAGGCTAAATTATAGACAACCACCCTGTAATTAGGGACCAATAACAC